ATATCATATTTTTCTACTACATATTGTTTTAAGGTTTAATCTTCTTTCATTTTCTATAGTTGATTCTATACGTAGTGATAGAAGTAATGTTAACTAAAATTTGAAAGACAATGCAAGTAAGCTATACATTGGGGTGGGGGGGGGGGGGGGTATTGTTCGATTAAGTGACAACCAAAGTAATACTTAATTTGGTCAGGTTTCTGCAAAATTCACATAGATCTTTTCGATTTCAAGTATTCTTGATTTTGTAAAGGGGGGGGGGGGGGTAAAAAATGACAGAATCACAGGGTACGTAACTTTAAATTATTTCCAGAAAAGTAAAATTAACCGAGAATGCTATACTTGTATAGTGTCTAATATCATATTTTTCTACTTCATATTGTTTTAAAGTTTAATCTTCTTTCATTTTCTATAGTTGATTGTTTAGTATGTAGTGAAAGAATTAATGTTAACGAAAATTTGAAAGACAATGCAAGTAAGCTATACATTGTTTGTTTATTTTTTAATTGCTTGATTAAGTGACTACCACGCTTCAAACCGATGTACATACTTGATCATTAATTTATCCAAGCTGATGTTGATCTACTAGATCTAAGTGGTCCCCGCTAATTTGTTTTGAAGTAGATCTATCGTTTTGAGAACAAAGATTTGTGACCAGTGTCCACATTCCTCTACCATTGTGTTTTTCTCGTGTGTGCTGCTACAATATTTGGACAGAAAAAGCAATTCCTAAATAGATCGAGGCCTGCGCAACATTGACAAATTTGGCAATCGATTACTTATCGGTTTCAACCAAACTAATCGATTAATCGAGTATTTAACGCGCGAAACAAAAACTTCAGAAAATCCTTGTTTTCCATTGGCTAGCTATACATGGGACCAATGTTTGACACTTGACCCTTAAGCCCCGGTTACACGCAACGATAAATTGTATCAGATTCGTCGTATGAGAGAACTGTCCGTTTTATCAAACTGTGTTGTCTGTTTACACGTTCCAATCTATCGTCCAGTTTTCTTTCGATCGAGGAGATTCCTCGTCATAAAGTATAAAACCTCCATGTCTCTTTGCAACGACAGAGATTTGCCTGTACTCTATGTGAAGGTTTCGAGCTCTGGACCTAAAGAATGAAAGGCGAACACTGTACCTCTAGATCACGAGAGCCCCCCCCCCCCCCCCCCCCCCCCCCTGTCCTGGGTGATTGAGTTTAGGAAACAAAAATGTTTATACAAGGGGGCCCAATCTGTAACGTGTTTTGGAATGAAGAAAAGCACTTTGGTTTAGGCGGGAGTGGGAACCAGCGCGGTGGACTTGGAGGAACCTCTCCCCATTTGGGGCCTATAAAAGGTGTAAAAAAAAACAACGATAAAAATGGGCCTCAAAATGGGTTCCAAAACGCAATTTTGTTTATTTAGAGAAACGATTCCCAAAAAGAGAAATTTTTTTTAACCGAGAAAAAATAATTTTAAAATTTT